AAATTGAATAATCTCGCTTATCTATAAACCCTGGAATTTTGCCTTTTCTGAATTTCAGATGAGCTTTCTCTAGTGCAAAGTCTTTGTTTGTTCTAACAATGTTTCTATTCAATACCTCAAGTAAAAACTCGACACCTATAGACGGTCAAAAACGTAAACTCGACAAAAAAACCGTGTTTTTTTTATTGTCCGTTAAAGATGAAATTATTGTTAATCATAATTATAAATTTTATACAAAGTGAGCATTTAGTAGTCAAGCAGTGGGTATTAGGACTATCTTTTGGAACATTTGCAAATTTTCACTATGTATTTTAAAACAGTTATAGATATTATATCTTTAATACAATTGTAGGTAAAAGGCTGGAAATATTTATTTCCTACGCATTTTTTCAATTTTTCTCTCTTGATTTTTCTTGATATATGTGATGGCGGACCTTTTTTGAGGCCTTCTGGTCAAAGGTACATCCGGAGACTTCTAGTACAACAAAAACGAATTATAGTGACACCTCCTCCAGGAACTCCCAGCTTTATAAAAATTTGTTCCACCTTCCCATTACCACCAACTTAATTCTATTGTACTATATTCAACATTAACCCCATGTCTATTAAACCGGATAATTTTAAACTTTTCTCTCTATAAACATCGATTATTTTTATTTTATTTAGTCGTCTGTGAGACCCATTTTCCGTTGGCAATGTCTCCAAACAAAAAAGGCCTCACAAAACATAAATTGTTAGCAATAAAAGCAGCTCTTTATTGATGTACAGTTAATTACCTGTTGGCGTTAATTAATACATACGTCGTGAGTTATAATGGAGTGGACGTCTGTAAAAGTTTATAAATAAACACCAAACACAAATACTTAAATACACTATCTATTCTCAGCCACTGCAAATCATTGACTTTTAGAGACAAGTTTTCATGTCTCCTTGAACTATATACAAATCGACATTATTTTGCTTTTGGAAGCATAAAACCATAAAAAAAGGCAAAATGTTGATATAGATAGAACGTACGATTCACAGACTTTTTTTTTATTAATCTTGAACTTTAGCAGGTGTTTATTAAAATACAATGTTTCCAGCACCAGATCCAAGTATTTCGCGGTTTGTGCAAAAATTATTGGTACTCCTCTCATCTCATGATTTAAATATTTTATTTTTTTAAAATCTGCTCAGCCAGAAGCAAAAAGCAGGACCAGCATCTTCGCAGCATTCTTTTTTAAGTTGTACTTGTTACTATAAATCAAAGAATCACGTAGATCAGAATTTATGCCCGCCTCAATATCATTCTAATGAAAAGTGTCGAAAACAGACAGAAATTGAGTATCGTCGGCACAATAACTCCGTTTGGAAAATACAAAATGGCAGCAAAATTGACCCTTGTGGCACTTCCAATGATGAAAATTCATTAAGATGTTTCACAATTTATTTCACATCATCAAAGAAGCTGCGAAAAAAAGTAAACAGCCGCAAACAACAGAGAATGATTCACAGAATCAAACGATCGAGAAAAGTCAAACAGGATTAGTATGGCTGCAAGTTGGTCATTTATACTCTAAATAATGCTCTGTGCTATTGCTTTTGGTATTAACAAATTCGTAAAATTGCTAATAAACAACATTTTTAAAACAGGCTGCTAGTTAGTTGGTTAGTATTTCAGGATGGTACAAACATTTCGTCAGTTAAATGTTATACTATGCTCGGAAACATTTTTTTTAACTTACGTTGTTAAATCGGCAATATTCTAAAACACAACAGCTGGTTAAATAAACAATTAAACGGTCCGAACCTACTTGTGTCCCCTCCACGTTAGAAATCACATTCTACCGCCAAGAGATAAATGGCAATGGCAGAGTTAAGCATTTGTTTATGTTGCTTGCCATTTTATCAATGACTTTGGAAGTGCTTCTGTTTAATCTGCTTCTTATTGCTCAAACGACACCGTGACGTTGAATTTTTCGCAAAATTCACACCTCAGAAAACCGATTTAAAGTTACGCAGTTAAGTGGCCGTTACTCAGGTTGTAACATATCGCAAACTCATAAAAATCGACCCAGATTCTTCCCCTATGAATCGCGCGTGGTGCTTAACGCCCAAAATTATTTGAAAACCTTGTTCAGACGATTTTTCCATCTGCACTGTGTGATGATTCGCGTATTATCCTTGCACCGCAGGTAAAAAAGAAATGTGCTTAAAAGCACGGGGCTGATAGAGGGGCAAAAATCATTGTAACTCAAAAGATGTACAGGATATTCCATTTACAATGTCATTTAGTTCCAGTAGCGTCGCAATCTATGATATCAAGTTTTTGCAGACAAGACATGGTCCAAAGTACAAAAATTTGAGTTCTATTTATATATAGTTTATATAGTTTTTTATATATAAATATATAAAGACGTTTCTTTCTACTTCTAACTGAAATTCAGCAACTTAGCGATTTTTCAAGCGCCCGTACTTAAAAACGAATTCATCAGTTCGTAAGATAGGAAATCAGGCAGCTGCGTAAGAAACAATCAGGATATCTATCTCTCTTTTACGAGTTCCTCTTTTGAAACCTAAATCGTGATGTAAATGCTGTTTTAGATACGGGTGACTATTAATGCGTGCAATGGATTTCCTTTATCTAGATAAATGGATGTACGAGTTAAAATCCCAATCCTCACGAAGAAGAATATTTATACATCCACTACGCAAATAAAGTATCGAATGTCTTCTCCGTTTCGATTCGCTTATTCGCTCTTTCCACCACCGTCTTTGTTTCATTTTCGATGGAAACTTGGTAATAGATTACACTTGGGTATTAGTTACACGTTCACTAAAAAATACAGCTTACTTTTGTATTAATCCAGTTCATCCATCTATTCCCGCAAAATTGTTTTTTTATTTTTCATGCTCAAATATTATAACTATCCAACTTGTTAAAATTGAAAGATCATCATCGCTGCTCAGTCCACACGAGTGTTAAAAATAAACCTCATCTGTCCTTAGATTAAACAGAGAGGTGAGATAAATTTGAAATACCTGAGTTTTTTTAAAGACTAAATAAAATTTAAAAACCTACGCCCTTGGTAATATTTTAATCTTTCGCCTGATGTCACCGCTGTTTCTTTTCAAAAAGGGAAAGGAACGCGACACGAAGGAAAACAGGAAGGGTCAAAAATGCAACGTGTTAAAAATTATTTGCTTACTTTCAATTCAAAGTGGATTAAAGAAGATAAAAGACCCCGTTTTAGCGGCAACGGGGTAAGTGCAGTGGGGAGGATGGTATACGGAGGATTTACGAAAATTGCGTTGGGAATTCAGTTTTTACTGATTAATACACGAAATGTTGTTTTGGAAAATTTGATGAAACCTACGAAACACTTATAGCACATAAACCGTTAAGGGTAAAAAGTAAAACACCCGATGGTGTAAACTGGAATTTCCAAGGAAGGCAATATGATTATCGATTTAATATAAAAATACGTAAGGAGGTTAAAAAAAAGCATTAGAGAAATTTGCGTTATATTGCAAATTTTGTGAATACCGATTAATTTTCTTAGAAGTCCGTAAATTCCCGACGAAAATGGAAACAAAAATGCAAAATCAGAAAGAATACACATAATAATTCTCCGTCTCGTTTTATGTTGGAGACATCTGGCCAAAACTCTTTCAATTAAGATGAAAAATCCAGTGCATTAGCGAAAACGGAGGGGCAGGTCTGGATACGAAACGAGAGAGGGGAAATAGGGGAAACAGAGTTCGGAACCGGAAAGGGGGGGAGAAACTGTAGGAGAGGCAGTGTAGTTCGGCTGCTCTATTCTAGACAACCGCCCGCAGGTCCCTTGATTAGAGAGGACAGAGCCGAATAGAGCTGTCTTCGCGATAGTAATGCAAAAGCTTTATGACGTTAATGTTCGAACATGGGCGTACGTCGTAACTATTTTCGACTCTAATAAACTCCTATTACCGAACTTCTATATGTACCTAAACAATTTTTTTTATTTAATAGCAGACAAATACTTTGAATATCTCGAAAATTTTAGAATTATTTTTATGTATATTTGTCCAGGAATTTATCACCCATTTAATTTTAGCAAAAAAAACGTTTATTAAAATATACAAATATGTAATAGAGGGAAGAATGTTTAGAAGGGAGCATCGATCAAAATTATTGGCATAAAAAAATGTTTTCATTTCTTCTTTCTCTTCGCTACAAAATTTTGTTATATGTTACTGCTAACATCTGCTACTCTTTGAGCTGTATATTTTAGAAATGATTACGTTTTTATGGCGGTTACAGTATAAATCACTCTTAGAATTTTATTTTCTAGTTTAAAGTTGACACGAATATAAATACTTTTGGTACATTTACAGTTACATTTAAATTAGTCTTTTTAGTCAACTATAATATATGGTTTTTTGATACTGACATATTATTTTCGACTAGATAATTACAACAGCAAATGAAGTGAAATGAACATGCAGTTTGTTGATTTTCAATACATATTTTATGCTTAATTTTTCATTTTGGTTAGTTTTGTTAATAGCCCAGGAATGGGTAATTTTAAAGGAATCCGTATAGAATCGAAATAAAATTAATAAACTGCCACTTTTTGTTTGAAAATATATAATGTCTTTCCTAAAATGGCAGTGTGCCGCCTTTGGCGGACTGTATCAAAAGGTTTCCGATTTTTAATATTCGTTTTCTCAATTCCGAAGGATTTATCTTTTGACACTCATTTTGCTTTTCCCTTCAAATATAAATCTGTTTCACTAACAAAAGGCTGAAAACTCAAAGTTCTCGAATGGCATCAGTTTTAAGCCGTCTCAAACTTCGACATAATTTCACACACCGATAGATTTATTTATCTTTTCGAAATTGGGCAAGAATTTAACGTTTAGAGTATTCCAAATCATGCGTGAACCTCTTCTTGTGTTTCTTCGATTTAAGACGCCGAATGTTTGGAATACCGGATAGCGATAACATTTCGTCGCTTCGGTTTTGTTTAATTTACCTGTTCGACATCATCTGGAAGTAAACCGTCGTTGGGTGTAGTTGCAGCGGAAGGCCGTTGGGACGTGGAGAGATTAATAGCTCCATCTCCGTCGATCATGTCCTGGTCCATAATGCCATCATCCTGTAAAGAAAGAAAAACAACTCTTACCCCCGCATAAAGCGCCATCTCGGCAAACCAAACCAAAATCGTATTATTATAGTTAATAATAGTATAACAGAAAGTCAATGCGAAAATCAAATAACGAAGTTTCGTCCCAGGCTGTTTCCTTCTCCAAATATTTTCACTGCATAAAATCTGGTTATTATATTTTTCCACCACTGTGAGCAGTTTCCCCCGATATAAGGGGCGTAATTATTTTATGAAGCGTCATTTCTATAAGCTAGATACGGTCGAGATAGAGCGCTGGACCTTTTATAATCTGTTGTATATTTGATAATGCCTCTAGGGTTCGTATTATTAATGGTCGGTTTTTCACTTTTGAACATTCTTTAGTGCGCTTAAAAGAAAACTGTTCCCGCGCAATGTTCCGCAGATGTGTATTTGTATATTTATTTTACATTAACCTATAAGATGGTATTTCTCCATATTTCCTCGCATTTCTCTAATTTTCAAATATTTCTTATTTGTGCACTCAAAAAAATAATGCGTTTTGAGATGCGCACAAGGTCGCCTTGTAATAAATCAACTCTTTTCCACAATTTAACTAATCAAAATATTTAATTAATAATTTAATAAAATTAATATTAAATATTTTGTTATTGACTTGTTTATAAATTATTAATCCAGTCACTTTAAAACATCATTTTCTCTTTCACAATAATTTTCTTTCATTTTATTACCAAAACCTAAGTAAAAGCAATTAGGTATAATTGGTAAGTTAAAACGGTTTAAAAAGTGGGCTTTTAGTTTGTGTTTTCTTGTGTGAATTGTAATTTTATTGAATTGCTGAGTCGTCAATAGTATATTATGCAAGGAGTTTGGTAAACGTGACTTGAAAAGTTTACCCAACGTATTACATACTATACTATATATTACTATACATACTATTTGGGTACATTTTTGCAAAACAACATTCGAATACATCTACTGATATATATGACCGTCAGAATTGATAAACGTCAAAATTCAAGCCGTGCGGTAAAATTTCCCAAACCCGAGCAATAGTAGAGTTTTTCACTAAACCGTGAACATATATACTATACTATACTATACTATACTATTAATTTAAAGCCGAGACAAATTTAATTCCAATGAAAACATTGTGATTTATGAGAAATTTAATATCGAACCAATGGATAATACTACATTATAAATAAGAAAAAAAAAAGAAAAGAAATAAAAAAAGTAGGATTTTTTTCTTCAAGGATAGCGTTAACGGAAAAAAGAATTTTCCTTACAATTTATAATGATGGCCTCTTCATTTGTAAACATTGTAAAATCATATAGCGTGTTATTGATTTATTGATTTAAGAAGAACAAATTAATCACAATCTTATATAATTTTGATAAAATTGTTGTTTGTTTTATTAATATTTTACAGCGGGTTTTTCTGAGTGTGGTTTCTGGAGATGGTTTACCCTCAGCTTAGAACACAGGTAAATAAATATGTTCTAAAGTGAACAAAAATATGGCTACAAATGGAACTTATAAATAAAAAAATTAACAGCCTCTTTTTTGATATTAAGGCGATGATGTTTTTTGGGTTTATGTGGTCGACGTTTAAATCTTAGTTAATTTAATTTAATTAATTTTAATTAAAAACGTTAAATTGAATTACAAATTTTAATGAAAAATCTTAAATTTTAATAAAAATTGTTGTGTTTTAATTCAATTAATGGTTTTTAGTCTATATATAAACACGGAAAATCATCCTCATCAATCCTGAAGATGGCAATAATATTGACGAAGCGACGACAACCTAAGAAATCGATTTTTTATAAACTCAACCCAAAACCCATCATTCCATCCATAATTACATTTATTTGCCTAAGCTAACCCATTGTCATTAAGACCGAAGTTAGTCAATTAAGCAGCAACACTGACGTCGTAGTTTGTAAAAATTTGTCCCGATTGCCCTTTTTGCTTTAAATAGGTTGCGTAACTGTGGTAGAAATGGAAAGATATCTTAAAAGCAAAAACTATCAAAAGCAATATGAGAATCGAAAATTGCAAATATCGTCCGCCATAGACGTTTCATTGGTTACTTTATATGAATCACCTGATATATAAACGGCCCTTTTTGATATTAGTATTCTTATATCCGAGTGAAAAAAATATAAAAAATAAATAAAAACGACCTGCACCGGAAGATATTCCGGATTTGTTCGGCTATAAAGTTATACGGAGGACTAAATATATTAAATCCTACTGGCCGCTCCTAGAATCTTTCTATATAGATCCCTCGACGGTAGTCCATTTTCAATAACAGACCTTTAGCTCGTTTACGATTTGTCCGATTCGAATGATTTTTTTTTATAAAAGATTCTCGCTTTTTTTGCATAAAACAAAACATGTGCGAAATTGCAAATACGTCACGGTACTGCGTTGGGTCCACGATGGTTGCCTTTTTGCAAATTCGATCCTCGAAACTGTTAGCGAAAGTTTTTTCGTGTTGACTGGAGCAAACATTTCTGATTGGCATTTTCAGTAACTTAGGTAAATAATTCCAAACAAGGGTGGACTGACCATTTCTTTATTTAGGACAAAAGTGCGAGACAATCGGTCCCCTAAAACTTTAATATAGCCGAGTAGTGTGTGTAAATAGAAGCAGTGCCGTTCGTCGATTTACAGTATATCTCGTCGTAATTAAAAGCAAAAATTCTAAGGCCATTGTGGCGAAAAAAAAAAGTGCGATTTCGGTTGATTGACGTACGAGGCGCAATCACCTTATCAAGATACAGTTGCTCGGTCCGTTGCAAAAACCCTCATTTTTCAAAACACCCACAATAGATGCCGTTTAGGGCCGTTGATTACGACTTTTCTTTTTTCGAGACCATTCATACTGACGTCAAATAGAATGGGTGACGGGCCATCAAGTGGCCGCCGGAAAAGTTCTTATTTACAATTTCAAATGGACGCAATAGGATCGACACAGGGTTGGACTCACGGCATTTCCTCTTGATTGTATTCTAATTTCGTGTTACAGAAAACTAATGCTTAAGGCGAGAAGAAAGGCAAGAATGATTTTGTCAAAAATTCTGAGGTATAGATGTGGAAGAATAAAGATCAAAGAACTAAACATTTGCTAAAGAATAGATAAAAAACGTTGCTACGGCCAATAAAATGTATTACCATATTACTGTGGAAGTTCCGATTAAACTGAGAGATAAAGCTTTTAAAAAATACAAAACTACAAAAAATAATAGTCATTGGGATATATAAACAACTGTGAAACCAAACTACCATAGCAATTAAAAATGAAAAGAAAAGGATATCTAGAATCTGTCTCTAATTAAAGTAACAGTAAAGTTCTTTGGAAAAAGTTAAGTAATTCAAATATGACATCTAAAACTACAAATATATTCCTTCCTGTTGGATTAAACAGACGTTCAGATATTAACCAGTATTTCCTACAGTTTTCCAAAAATAAACAAGCGGATCCTATGTTGCTATAGTATTACCAAAATGATATTAAAAAAAATGTACTTGACTGTTAGTATCGATGAGGTGAGAGCGCAACTTTGTAGTATTCAATCATTGGCATCTGGTTCAGATTTAATAAATATAGAAATGTTGTTAATGTGTTGCCCCAGAATTCTTCCATTTCTTACTAATATTGTAAACTCATGCCTCCTTGCAGGAGTGTTTCCAGATTAATGGAAAGTTGCACGAATTACTCCACTTCCCAAAAATAACAAAGTAGATAGTTTTAATGAATTAAGACTCTTCAGTATTTTGCCTCGCTCTACGATTTTTTTTGGAAACTAATAACATTTTGCCTTCGAACCACTCAGGGTATCTAGATACAGTTGTGTAACGGCACTTTTGAGTATTATAGATGACATTATAATACTGGTTAGTTTTATTATAAAATCAAATTTTAATCGTTGTTAACTTTAACGCTAAAAGTGTATATATCGGACAATACGACAAGAAAGAATTATGATGGTTGAGTATTTTCAAAGATGCAAAATACACAATTAGGAGTGTGCTGCAGTGAATTCGGGTTTACTGTATCTGAATATCAAATGAATGGGGCAATCTTTCTGGAAGACAACGCCGAACCTGCCCTGGTCGCTGGACTTAAGTGGACACATACTCAAGCCAAGGCCGAAGGGGTGTGAAATACTATCGGGGGGGGGGGGGGGGGGGGTAGCAAACACTTCCCGAGGCGAGAAGAATGGATGCCGAATGTATCTAACGACCGGCGCGCTGCTACTGGGGTCCCCTAAAAAGTGCCGAAACATAAAAAACTGCTTTTATTTTCTTATATTCTTATTATTTATGATAATACGTTCGGGGGCTGCCAAAGGAGGAAACTCTAGTAATTCATACAGTGTGTCCAATATATCGTTCCTCGGAAATGGGGGATCGATAACATGCACTAGGGAAACTGGACAATTTAGCTTACCTCATGTATACAGAAATCGAAAAAGAATAAATATGATTTCGTTTCATTTTTTTTAAAGTGTTATTTAGATATATTGCATTGTTTCATTTTTTTCTTTTTTATCTAAAAGACGACGACAAATTACAAAATATAAAGTTTTGATGCGAAGAAACCATTAATCATACTTTTTATAAAACTTCTGGATTCCTCCGTCTGTTTTTGTTGAGTCGTACTAGCTATTGTTTCGCCAATCATCCTGTTGGCTTCTTCAGAGCTTGACTATAACTGTTTCAGTTTAGGTAGTTCGCGTCAACAAAAACCGACGCAGGAGGAATCCAGAAGTGTTATAAAAAGTATAAGAGTAGGTTGTGGAAGTTTCTTTGAAAAAAAAAAATTAAACCATTAACCGCTTTGCACAAGTTTGGATCAAAATATGAAATCCTTAATTGTAATGCAAAAAATATATGTAATCATTAGCCCAAAAACTTATTTAGTACCACCTAAACTATATGCCAGTATTGAAAAATAACAATGGTTTTTATTTTAATAGGGAAAGTGGCGTCAAATACTT